TGCAATTTTTCACATTAGTGGTACGATTTCTCCTTCTCTTTTTGCCATACCGGTGGCGTCCACGTGCTGCAGATAACGAGGCCGTCGTTTCTCGCAATACGGCTGAGCTGAAAGCAGCAAGGCGGGCGCAGCGGCAGCGTAAAGCCCGAATCCAAGTTTAGTCTGCTCGATGGAAACTTGTAGCAGCGAGGAGCATCAGCTTGTAGACTCCTCCGCCGCCCGCCCCCCTCGCAGCCCGGCGTACCGCGGCGCCCACTTCCAACAACGCACACCTCCTGCTGGTCGACCCACCTGCTCGCGCAGCCCTGGCCCTCCTCCTCCTCCTCTTGCTGCTGCTGCTCCACCCACGAGAGCTCTAGAGCGCGAGCAGGTCGAGCCACACATGTAATGTCGCCAAGTTGGAACCATCATCGTCGTTGCGACTTGGCGACAACTTTCGTCTGCGGACGTGCGTGTCTGTGCGGCGCTGCGCTGCCGCCGCGCGGAACACCGCGACGAGGAAAGGAGATTAAGCGCGAGGGGCGCGCTACATGACGGGAGGCACATACCGAACAAGAGAGAGAGAGAGAGAGGGGGAGGGGAGTGAGAGAAAGGGACAGAAAGAATACATGAATAATCCAATAATGATTCGCGGCAGGCCGAGCTACATTTAGCAATGCAAACGTCACGCGTGCGCGCGCGCTCTACGTGACGGGGGAGACAATCTAGGCCTTTATGTCCTTCTTTTCACGGCGCAATTCTTCCGGCAGGCCAGGCAGCGGCAGCGTTGCGGCCCTCGGGGGACGAGAGCCAGCAGCAGCAGCAGCAAGGATAAAACGAAATATGGCGGGGAAAACCGCGTAAATAGGCTCTGCGCCGGGCCTAAAACGAATGGGCCTCTCCCCATTTCCTTGGTCGAGAGTAGGCAGAGGCGGGCCGCGGTCGAAATCGTCGCCGAGGGAGCGTCGGGCGTATGGAGGCCCTGCGGCCCCCTCGGCCGCAAGTGGAGCCGGAGTACTTGTTGAGGTTCGTTAACCTCCCATGTGCCGAATGTGTTCCCGCATAACTCGCGCCCGCTCAGCGGCGTCCGCAGCAGATGCGGCAGAGGGGAAGGGGCGATCACGGCATCAGCAGGGCGGCCGCTGCATTCGGCGAAACAAAGACGGACAACAAATGGCATGCGGCAATAACGGCGGAGCGTGGCGTGGCGTGGCGTGGCGTGGCGGAAGAATGCAACGGCTTGTCAATAGCAAACAGCTACCCGCCAGGGGGTGCCCCGCCTCGGCCTCGCCGCACTACAGCAGTAGTATTAGGGAGAGCTGCCCCGCCCCGTCCCGGAATGGCCAGAGCCCCATCAGATGCCGGTTTGTTTTGCAAATTGATTCCTCTCTGGGCAACTCCCTCTCCCTCTCTCTCTGCTGGCAGGACTGCTAGCTCCCTCGCCCCCTCCTCTCTCTTCCGTGGAGAGAGGGCGCAGCAGGCGGTAGTGCGCAGCACCGCGGCCGCGGCGAGAGCGACCCAGATCCGTGCGGCCACGAAAAAGTTGGCCGCGAATCACCTGCTCGCCAACAACAATCACTTGGACCTGTCGGACGCAGTGCCAAAGTGGCGCTGGGGGCTCCCACGACGCGGTTGCCGCCCGAGAGGTGCGATCGTGAGGCTGTGGCGGCGGTCTCGGAGCAGCGTCGAGACAGTCAGCGAAGTCACGCTGCACTCCAACGAGGAAAAAATGCAGCCAAGGTGGCTTTTTCTTTAAATAGCAGCTGCTCATCACAAGTTTTAATATGGCCCTTACCTTAATCTCCTCGTGTACGTCCCACACCAACAACTGTCAAGTGTTCGCTGTTCGAGTTTCTTTGGTAGCAGAGCTCGTCGAAATATTTAGAGCGCATCATCACTGTAAAAAAAAAAAAACATGAGACATGGAGATGTAAGTTCAGACAGCCATAGCAGTTTGGAGAAAGAAGCAAAAAGTTCTGTCTCATACGTTTGCGTAATGGACACAATCCCACATCCGCAAAGAAGTCATCGCAAATGTGCAATCCCCTCCACCACGCAAAAAAAAACAAAAAAAAAAAACTGAAAGAATGAGTGTTCTTTGATACTCTGCGAAAACTGCTTTGCCGGGTATAGAAACATTTTTCATGGCAGGTGTCGTGCACGGTTACGTATCGACTTGAAATTCATTGAAGGGCAAGCGAGGGCAAGAGGGTATATTTTATGTATAACATATTTCGTAAAGAGTAAAATTCAAAATATTTTTGTTCATCTACGAACACATTTTTTACATTGTATTTTGTGCTTTTTCCAGACCGCGACTTCTGGTACGAGGAGGCGCGCGCGGCGCTGCGGCAGCGACTCAGCCTGGCGGGGCAGACGCGGCCGGCGCCGCGCGCCAAGAACGTCATCCTGATGGTGGGCGACGGCATGGGCGTCTCCACCGTGACGGCGGCCAGGATCCTGCGCGGCCAGCGCCAGGGCCGCCCGGGCGAGGAGGCCACC